CAATTGAAGTCGAATTAGTACAATCTCGGTCAATTATAGTGTAATCGACCTCGAATTAGTGCAATTGAAGTCAAATTAGTACAATCTCGGTCTATTATAGTGTAATCGAACTCGAATTAGTCCAATTGAAGTCAAATTAGTACAATCTCGGTCAATTATAGTGTAATCGAACTCGAATTGGTCCAATTGAAGTTAAATTAGTACAATCTCGGTCAATTATAGTGTAATCGACCTCGATTTAGTCCAATTGAAATCAAATTAGTACAATCTCGGTCTATACTGTAATCGAACTCGAATTAGTCCAATTAAAGTCAAATTAGTACAATCTCGATCAATTATAGTGTGATCGAGCTCGAATTAGTCCAATTGAAGTCAAATTAGTACAATCTCGATCAATTATAGTGTAATCGAACTCGAATTAGTCCAATTGAAGTCGAATTAGTACAATCTCGGTCAATTACACTGTAATCGACCTTGAATTAGTCCAATTGAAGTTAAATTAGTACAATCTCGATCAATTATAGTGTAATCGAACTCGAATTAGTCCAATTGAAGTCGAATTAGTACAATCTCGGTCAATTATAGTGTAATCGACCTCGAATTAGTCCAATTGAAGTCGAATTAGTACAATCTCGATCAATTATAGTGTGATCGAGCTCGAATTAGTCCAATTGAAATCGAATTAGTACAATCTCAGTCAATTATAGTGTAATCGACCTCGAATTAGTGCAATTGAAGTCAAATTAGTACAATCTCGGTCTATTATAGTGTAATCGAACTCGAATTAGTCCAATTGAAGTCGAATTAGTACAATCTCGGTCAATTATAGTGTAATCGACCTCGAATTAGTGCAATTGAAGTCAAATTAGTACTATCTCGGTCTATTATAGTGTAATCGAACTCGAATTAGTGCAATTGAAGTCAAATTAGTACAATCTCGGTCAATTATAGTGTAATCGAACTCGAATTAGTCTAATTGAAATCAAATTAGTACAATCTCGGTCAATTATACTGTAATCGAACTCGAATTAGTCCAATTGAAGTTAAATTAGTACAATCTCGATCAATTATAGTGTAATCGAACTCGAATTAGTCCAATTGAAGTTAAATTAGTACAATCTCGGTCAATTATAGTGTAATCGACCTCGATTTAGTCCAATTGAAATCAAATTAGTACAATCTCGGTCAATTATACTATAATCGAACTCGAATTAGTCCAATTAAAGTCAAATTAGTACAATCTCGATCAATTATAGTGTGATCGAGCTCAAATTAGTCCAATTGAAGTCAAATTAGTACAATCTCGATCAATTATAGTGTAATCGAACTCGAATTAGTCCAATTGAAGTCGAATTAGTACAATCTGGATCAATTATACTGTAATCGAACTCGAATTAGTCCAATTAAAGTCAAATTAGTACAATCTCGATCAATTATAGTGTGATCGAGCTCAAATTAGTCCAATTGAGGTCAAATTAGTATAACCTCGATCAATTATAGTGTAATCGAGCTCGAATTAGTCCAATTGAAGTCAAATTAGTACAATCTCGATCAATTATAGTGTGATCGAGCTCGAATTAGTCCAATTGAAGTCAAATCAGTACAATCTCGATCAATTATAGTGTAATCGAGCTCGAATTAGTCCAGTTGAAGTCAAATTAGTATAATCTCGATCAATTATAGTGTGATCGAGCTCGAATTAGTCCAATTGAAGTCAAATTAGTAAAATCTCGATCAATTATAGTGTGATCGAGCTCGAATTAGTCCAATTGAAGTCAAATCAGTACAATCTCGATCAATTATAGTGTGATCGAACTCGAATTAGTCCAATTGAAGTCAAATCAGTACAATCTCGATCAATTATAGTGTGATCGAACTCGAATTAGTCCAATTGAAGTCGAATTAGTACAATCTCGATCAATTATAGTGTAATCGAACTCGAATTAGTCCAATTGAAGTCGAATTAGTACAATCTCGGTCAATTATACTGTTATCGAACTCCAATTAGTCCAATTAAAGTCAAATTAGTATAATCTCGATCAATTATAGTGTGATCGAGCTCGAATTAGTCCAATTGAAGTCAAATTAGTACAATCTCGATCAATTATAGTGTAATCGAGCTCGAATTAGTCCAATTGAAGTCAAATTAGTACAATCTCTGTCAATTATAGGGTAATCGAACTCGAATTAGTCCAATTGAAGTCAAATCAGTACAATCTCGATCAATTATAGTGTGATCGAACTCGAATTAGTTTAATTGAAGTCAAATTAGTACATTCTCGATCAATTATAGTGTAATCGAACTCGAATTAATCCAATTGAAGTCAAATTAGTACAATCTCGGTCAATTATAGTACTAAATTTACTTCAATTGGACTAATTCGAGTTCGATTACAGTATAATTGACCGAGATTGTACTAATTTGACTTCAGTTGGACTAATTCGAGTTCGATCACACTATAAATGACCGAGATTGTACTAATTTGAGTTCAATTGGACTAATTTGAGTTCGATCACACTATAATTGATCGAGATTGTACTAATTTGAATTCAATTGGACTAATTCGAATTCGATTACCCTATAATTGACCGAGATTGTGCTAATTTGATTTCAATTTTACTAATTCCGTTTTATCTGTTTTTAATTTTTTTTATTAAAAACGAAATTTTGAAATTCGTGTTATTTGTTATATATATATATATATATATATAATTTTTTTTAAATTCGACTTTTTCAAAACAAAAATATTAAAATAAAAATTAAACACGAATTATGGAATTTTTTTTTTATTTTTTTTTATTTTTTTTTTTATTTTTTATTTTTTTTAATAAAAAAATAAAAACGGATTACGAAAATCCGTTTTTTAATATTTTTTTTTTTTAATAAAAAATTAAACACGGATTACGAAAATCCATTTTTTAATAAAATATTTTTTTTTGAAAAACGGATTTTGAGAATCCGGGTGTTTTACTATTGTCCACAACATTTTTTTTCTTTTTATTTTTTGCCACAGATTTTTTTTTTTTATATATAAATAACTCACCCTCTATTATCTTGTTATCTGCTATAAATGAAAATACACATTAATATTCTTTACTTTATTCGCATAGTTATCACTTTGGTTTTCTGTTCTCCAAATAACCCTGCCAAGCGATCTGGCTTTTAACTCCGCCGTGCCGCGATTAATTCCGATCCACCACCACAAAGCTTCCTGGTATCCATTCTCATCTTTTTCCTCTAATTATTTTTCTTTAATTTGGTTTTGTTATCTTCTTTATATACATTATTTGGCGTTTCTTTTTTGACTTCTTCTTTTTTTCTTCGAAAGCAGGTATTGTATGTTCAAAATCTGTCATCTTCAGTTATGTTCCGCTGTTTTTATGCCTCGTTTTCATTATTTCACATATCCCTTTTTTAATTTTGCTAATCGAGAAGTAGTTGGATCGGTCACTGACGCGGATGACAATGTTTTTGACAAACAAAATCAAAACGAAATTTGGGAGTTCAATGTTGTACTTGTCAGTTTGATGTTATTCAGTGTGTTCAATGGAATTAACTGTGTGTTGCTTTAGTATCTGTTTCTATCAGCAAGTGATTGTGTCCAGGTGATGATTTTCTTCTGGCTGGTGCCAGTGTTGAATTTGCTATACATTTCTGTGTAGAAGTGCATTTTATTTTCTAATAAATTACATTCTGTAAGTCAATTGAAATCTGTGCAGCTTGATTATGCACCCTTGAAGTGCTGGTAGTCTGGTAGTAATTTAGTAGAAAATTGAACTTATGAAATCATTTTTATTCTGTTCTGATTGGATATTTATCCAGAACTCATCGCCCACTTTCGCACGACGGAGAATTTTTTTCAATGATGAGGCTTCAAACTTACGCGGGATTTAGCCTATTAGCTACATTGGCCGTTATCTATCACGCTTTTAGCAGTAGAGGCCAGTTTTACCCGGCCATGGTTTATTTATCGACTTCAAAAATCAGTTTGGTGCTCCTCTTGAATATGGGCCTGGTTTTTATGTGCGTCTTGTGGCAACTGACCAAGAAAATCTTCCTCGGGCCTCTTCGTGAAGCGGAAGTCGAGCGGCTGAACGAGCAGTCATGGCGTGAAATCATGGAAATATTATTTGCGATCACCATCTTCAGACAAGATTTCTCAGTCTCGTTTATAGCTATGGTTACCACTTTACTTCTGATCAAGGCACTTCATTGGTTAGCCCAAAAGAGGGTTGAATACATCGAGACAACGCCTTCTGTTCCTAAACTATCTCATGTCAGGATCGTGTCTTTCATGGGATTCCTTCTTCTTGTCGACTGTAGTTTTCTGTACAGATCGGTTAAGTACTTGATAAAAACCAGGCAGGCCTCAGTTTCACTCTTCTTTGCGTTCGAGTAGGTTCCTCTGAACTGATTGCTTAATTCTGCCTGTTTTGTCATTTGAGTGTTTTCTTTAAGCCCTTTAATTCGAGATCGATAAAGGAAAAAATAAACATTTTTTTTTTCAGATATATGATATTGGCCACAACGACTGTATCAACAATTGTGAAGTATGTATTTTACGTGAGTGACATGATTATGGAAGGACAATGGGAAAAGAAGGCTGTCTACACCTTTTACTTGGAGCTTATCCGGGACTTGCTCCACTTGACTATGTATATGTGTTTCTTCCTTGTCATTTTTGTGTAAGTAACTCTGTCAGCTTAATCTTCCGCATGCACAGGGTATGAATTATGATATTCCCAAGTATAGTTCATTGAACTGCCGAGCAAACAGATTCTTGTATCATTCGACTATCGAAACTGTTACTATGAGATCTAATGTAAATGTATTTTTCATGCTATCTAACAACTTCCACAATGTTTTTTCCACAAACAAAAATTAATAAAAAGTTTCTAAATCCATACTCACTTCCGAAGAGTTTATTACTGTGGGGTTACAATATAGAGCTACTTTATCTCCTCAGGAACTATGGCGTGCCTCTTCACTTGATCCGGGAGTTATACGAGACTTTCCGTAACTTCAAAATCCGCGTGGCTGATTACATACGTTACCGCAAGATCACTTCGAATATGAATGATCGTTTTCCGGATGCAACCACGGAGGAGCTTAATACGTAAGCACCTTTTTCGCCCAATGGAAAAATGTAGTTAAAAATTGTAATTCCTAACTTTGATTATCAAAATCTCTCTTTTTTTTTTTTTTTTTTTTTTATTTATGACTAATTCCAGTTTTATTAATTTATTAAATAATCTCTTCTCATCCAGGAATGATGCAACCTGTATTATCTGCCGTGAGGAGATGATTACGGCTAAAAAACTCAACTGTGGTCATCTTTTTCACGTGCACTGTCTGAGGTCTTGGCTGGAAAGGCAAAACACATGTCCCACGTGCAGAGCCCTCGTGGTACCACCTGAGAATGGGACTTCAACTAGTGGAGTTAGAGCCGATGTTCAACAGCAAGGTATGATATGTTACTTTGATGACTATTTTTATGTCAATATTTGAAAACGAATCAGGTTTGTGTATCTGGAATCTTGGGTGTCGAAGGTACCTTATTCGTGAATTTTGCCGAGCAACCTCATTATATCATGCTTGTAAAAATCATTTGATTAGTGTTATTTGGTGGGGCCCAGGAAGTAGCACACCTGGCACGTCTTCACAAGGAGCTGCTGGTGTTAGGGCGGGAAATGATAACGTCAGTCAGCATGAAGCTAGGCTACAAGCTGCTGCTGCTGCTGCCTCGATTTACGAGAAGTCTTTTGTTTATCCTTCCCCGAATACCCTTACATGGTAATGAATTCTTCTCATTATTACATTCTTAAAATTTGATGTATCTGTTGTTTTTTGCTGTTTTTTGTGGCCTGAAATCTCGAGATTAGTTCTGGAAAAATTGGCATGATGTGTTTGAGGATTTTGACATCTGTCTCGTACAAAGAGCTTCTATAGTATAAATTAGAGGATCTCTCGGGCAATGCATGTTGTAATTCAAAGAATAGTATTAAAAAAAAAAAAAGAAGAAAGAAAAGTGATATTATGGCTTTGATATATCTGTGTGGGGCTTGCAGGTCACCTGGATATGCATTTCTTCCCCAAACATTCGCAAATCCAAGCCACACCATACCGGCAAACGATGGTGTCTCACAACAGTATTCGGACATGACTTTTGTGCAGTTACCTCAGTGGGCTGGGAGTGCCGATTCTCAACAAGATTTGCAAGTTAAGCTAATTCAGGACCAGATTGAGGTAATTAATTCCTTCTAATTTTCCTGAATGAGTTTTATTCATCTATCATGAGCTACGCGTTGACATGGCCAGCTCCAGTTGTTTCATCTATTATGATTTGGTACCTTTTTTTCTCTCTATTCTCCCATGTTCTATTCATTTCGGCCGTTCGGGCTTTTTCCTATGTGAATATGAAGCATGCATAGCATAGAAGTCCAAAAGCGTGCACGAATATGAAATGCATGCTGCTTTTTACAAAGTTTTTTAGAATAGTAATTACCTTTATTTGTATTAAACTGTTTTTATTAATATAAATTTAATCACAAAATATTTGCACAGTTTCTGCAACACAGGCTCCAGCTTCTGCAAGCATCAAAGGATGGGAAGGGAAAATCGGTAATATCACCATCTTCATCTGTTGTAGACTCTAGTGAGACTCGTTATCCAGAGCCAACGGACTAACTGTCTGACTAGCCAGATTATTTTTACCGAGAACCGTGAAAACGTGTGAATTGGTAGTTCATGCCGACTTTAAGTTTTCCTATGTGAGAATCCAACTGTGTGCTGATTATAGCGGAGTCGTTAGAGAAAAAAAAAATGAAAAACTCTAGCTAGTTGGGTTTGAAAATATTGGACTCAAGTGCAAAATCTATACTTATATAATAAGAATTAACATTTATCCAAAATAGTAGGTCAAATTATGGTGAATGTCGGATTTGCATTAAATATTTTCCAAAACCGGTAAGTTTTTGTCCTTTTCACACTTCTCATTAATTATGTCATTTTCACACTTCTCATTAATTATGTCCTTTTCACACTTCTAATTAATTCATTAATTACGACATAATTATCATAAATTATTCCATCTGAGCTTTTATCGTTAAAATGTATAGTGATCTGTTATGACCTTTCCCATTGATATTTCCATGAAGCGTCCTTATCGCGTTCTATTTTTTGGTAACCACTCTATATCAATAACCGGATATTTGGTTAATGATAGCACACGTCTTTATTTCAAGGAGCGGATATTCTTTGACCTTTAATTAATCTGAACTGATTGCCTTGACTTTTCAATTTTTAAAAACTCTTTTTTTAAATATTTCGGCTTAAGATTCGGATTTCATTATACAAGTCATCGGATTGTTGAATGAAATGAATGAAAAGAACACCAAAAACAGGTAGCCTTATTCATATAACCAATACTAAAATATTAGTTTGTTCACCAAAAAGAGACAAATCCTAAAAATCCTAAAATATTAGTTTGTTCACCAATTCTAAAATATTAGTTTGTTCACCAAAAATATTAGTTTGACTTTTAGGATTTGTCTCTTTTGAAAATATTAGTTTGTGATAATAAGGAGTTACCAAATAATCAAACTCATAATGTTGTGTACAATGAGGTTTTTAATAATATATGATTGTTACCGAACTTTTTATGATTCAACAATGTTCCTATGTATTTTAATGATTTCAATTTCGATCCTAATGCACGTGAGGTTATATTATTTTTCCAAATTTTACATTCCGTGCATCGCACGGGTTACGTACTAGTATGTATCAATAGATTTCTTTTAATATGAATCAAAGAAAAAGTATCAGATTGTGTTTGGCAATGAGAGGTTTGAACCTTTAGTAGAGATTTGATGTAGTTAATATTTTAGTTGTTTGCTGAAAAAAGATATTTTTACATTAGCTTCTTGGATTGAATATATTTAACATTAGAAAAGAATCCAAATGCGAGTATTTTTAATTTTTTATACAGAGATGACATTACAGATGCAATTAAAATTCTTAAATGTGACTTAGAACAGAAACTGCAGGTGTTGCATGAAGTTTTGTTCCCCATCAGACTCAGTATCCAAATATAAATTAAGACAAATGTCAGTTTCATAAATATGTTTGTTATAGTTTTGTGGACAACTTTGGACATGTTATGACAGCGAAAAATGTCATTTTTTTCTGTTTAACATTTTCTAATATAAAGTTACTGTGTTTCTCTTTACATTAAAGAGAAAATCCAAAAATATGAGGATGTATAAATCAATGAAAAATCATAACGGGTTGGACCACTTTAGTAGGCTCATTATTTTCCAACAGGGCTATTAGTAGTAACTGGGCCAAAATTCCTTCGGCCTATCTTGTCGATTGGACTTTGTTTGGATGTGGTAGCTCCGAATTATTACTCTTTAAGTCCCATCAATTTGCTATATTTGTCTTTTGGAAGTCCTCTCCCCATAACTAGGGGTTGCAATGGTGCGCTACAGCGAAAAACCGCATCGCAAAAATTTGAAATTTCGAACCTATAAAAAAAAAAAAAACAAATTTGAACCACTCAGTAATTTATAAAAAATCAAACTGGTTTTTTTTCTTTCAAATAACCGCACTGAAATGCTTTGGCTCGATTTTCGGTTATATCACGATTTTTATTTACATTTTATTCAATTTGGCACGGTTAGGTGCAAAATCGCACCAAACCGAACCGGAAACTTATAAAAACTAATCGTAATATAGGGAAAAAAAAAAAACTAAATCGAAACCATATAGAAAATTTTGTACATTAAAAAAGTCGAACCGAAATTCATCAAATCACACTGTTCGGATCGATTTTTTGGTTTCGTCTCCGTTTTGCTTACCCGTGCTTATAACAGAGAAAGCTAGAGAGAACTTGAGCTTGATTCATGTGTGGGCAAAGGAATTTATCTTTATTTGATCAACACACATTTCTGTGAGTATGTGTGTACGTGTGATCTAACGTGAGAAATCCGATTCTTGTACGCTTTCGAATCTACATATTCTTTTAACCTCTATCAAACCGAATTCATGAGACTGAAACCATTGTTGAGTGTGACAAACTTTATTAGTCATTAAATAAATTATTATTCGATTATGTTCACATGTACAAATGCAAATAACTTTTTATATGTTATATGTGTGTTTATATAATATTTAAAATCATAAGTTAGATAATGAGCGTATCACATTTTATAAATTTCACATTAGTGAAAATGAACGATCTGAATATAAACTATTTAACTTACATATTAATCTTCATATTGATTGAAATAATGTAACTTCTGCAATCTTGGCTGATTATCATTAATTAATTAAAAAAACAATATTGAAATTATTATTGTAGCAATTGTGTACGAAATTTTAAATGATTGGTTGTGCCATAATAAATAATTAACTTATTTTAATAAAAAACTTGCTTAATGAACTGAGAAAAATATTATAAATAAATAGTTTGAGAAAAAGTTGAGAAATAGAATATCATTTAGTGTGACTGATGATGACTTATGACTTTATAATTAGTTAGTAGTAACTGTTACGTAATAAAATAAATGAAAAATACAATTACTCGATGAATGTAAAATGTAGCGAAAAAAGAGTGAAAAAATCAAAATATTTTGTCATAATTTTTTACCAATAATTATATATAGAAAGAGAGTGAAAAGAGCTAAAAAGCTTAAATTAGCCATGCCTTTACGTTATTTTATTTTATTATTAGTATTAATAGTCTTGTATCTTAATAATTGAAACGGGATACGGAAAAGAAGTGTCAATTTGAAATTTAAGAATGTAAAAGCATCTTTTATTGTAATTAAATTGTTTGTCCTCTTGGAAAAATCAAATGATTACAAATCTAGAGAGGATTCACTTGACGATGGAGATTTTCATTATCTCCGGGTTTTGAGATTATTACGGTAAGTCCTTCCATAATTAAGGGCAAACATTTGGCATATTTGTGTGTTCATATTACATTTCTATTTTTAGACCAAAAGTATGTTATTATAGAAGGCGCTTTCATTCTAATTTATGGTCATGACGTAATGAAACATAAGTGTCAAATGTATCGCCTAGAACTTAAAAATAATTACAAAGTCGGAAGGAGTTAGATTTTTTGAGGGAATCAATAACTTATTACCTGCATGATCCTTATTCAGTATCTTGCACTCGAGAATGAGTGGAGAACTTTGTCACAATCGATCGTGTCCAATAAAACCGACTCATAAAATAGTTCAGGTGTCGCAACAACGTGGTTGGAGTCCCAATCTTCAAATGAAATTTTTGATTCGGTACTCCTGAACATTTGATAGTATTCATAAACTTGGGCATGTGAAAATCAAACAAAAAAACGTTATTAGATTCTGATTTGTACGTAATATCAAACTTAAATACCTACAATCCTCAGCCAAATTCAACAATGTCATGAACTCAATCACCTCCAATGTCGGTGCTAATATAACATGTTCTTCAAGTAACCGAGAATTGGTTGTCCCGTTAAACACTGAATACATGCTTTCAACAATTCGAACAATTAGATATATATATATATATATAGATGTCATCGTCTCGTATACTATTAAGTTTTCAAATCATATTAGCCTTTTGCCTATGTATTATTACAACACATTTAGTTTCAACAATATTTACAAAAAAACATAAATATTTATTTTATTAATTGAAAAAATCAAAAGTTAAATAAAATAGTAATCCTATTTTGTCCGCGAGAATCAATTAATTTTAGTTAAGCATAAACAAAATGTGAAAATTAGTTTCGAAGTGTACTTCCAATACTATATTAAGTTGCGTTATACAGACTATAAAAAACATTGCGTCTCTTTTTCTATTAATAAAAAATGTTTAATATGAAAATATTATATAATTCAAGGCAAAAATTATATTAGAGGCATGATAATTGGCAATTTAATTTTATTATTGAAACAAGTGAAGATTTATAAATCTTTTTAGGAATCAATTTTAATTCAAAGAGTACATGGAATCACACATCGCACTATATATGAAATTTTATCAATAATAATAATAATAAAATAAAATAAAAAAATAGAAGAAACATACCAACTCACACAAAATGACAAGGTATATAAGGATGCATTGACAACATATATTAAACTTATATTAAACAGGCTCCAAAAGTTAGTTACATTGCATAATAGAATAAAGAGTAACTTTTCTGTCGGTGTATGAAATACTTCAAGAAAAACTTCATTACAGTATTGTGTATTGGAGAACGATTCATACGCTCTTCCAAATAATCATATTACTCATAAACTTCACCACTGATCTCTTGTGGCTACCAAAGTTACAAATTTGAAAATAAAATATTGTTAATAATATTATTTTCATTTAAAATATGGGAATATAAACTTTGCTGTTCATTATTTGCAAACTTTGTAGAAAGATTGATACAGAGATAGAGTGTATGTTTGGAAGCGTTTTTGTAATGAACTTTTGACTATAAAAGTTAATTTCTATATAAAAAGATGTTTGGTATAAATAACAAAATAAACTTTAAAAAAGTAACTCCCACAAAAAGTACATTTCAAAGAAGTTTATATTCGACACTTCCTGAAAAGTCACTTTTCAAAAAGTCCATCTTAAAATGGACTTCTCAATGAGTGTTTCGTAGTACAACATTTGCACATGTTAGATGAATAAACGAAACATATATTTTTCTAATTATATAATCAAAACCAGAAAATGGAAGAAGGAAAAACAAATAATATAAAAAACAACACTAAACTATAAATATAAGCATAACAATTGCAAAACGTATTTAATTTATTTTTTTGTTATATATTTATTGGTAGATTAAGAGAAATATTTGTAGATTAATACAAAGAATATAGGATGCTTTAAACTCTAACCATCTCACATATATTTGAGATATTGGGCTTGGAAAAAGTCAGGGCTTGATTGTTTATGAATTATTTCATTCTCATTTATTTCATACTTAAAATCTAGCTCAACTTTAACTCAACACCACTATCTTTAATATTATTCATATAATTAAATAATACAAACTAATCATTCTTACACATCACATCAACTTCAATTC